GTAGATGCATTTTCATGTAATAAACAAGATAATCAAGCATGGATATGGAATTCAGTTGATGGAACTATTCAAAGTAAACATAATGGTGCATGTTTAACCTCGAAAGCAGAGCTTGAAGTATGGGCAGGTCCACTTTCAGATGGTTCACAAGCTGTAGTTTTACTCAATCGTGGTAATTTCGGAAGTGAAACAATAACAGTGAAATGGAGTGATATTGGATTTCCTGTTGATCATTCAGCTGTAGTTCGTGATTTGTGGGCTCGAAAAGATCTTGGAACATTTACTGGTAGTTATACATCACCAAAGATAGATCATCATGCTGTAATGATGTTAAAAATTACTCTGATGTAGTCGATATAAATACTTCATAAACTTAATACAAGAACCATTTATTTTAACTTTGTGACTGCTAATTTATTGTAGTTTTTTAATGGATGCAGTAATTTTTAGTAATTTAGTAGATACTTGAGAGTATTGCTATGCTTAGTAGCCTTTTCGTATTATCATTTTTATTACTGAAGCAATACTTCATGAGTTTTCATTCAGTTAATTTTTCTTCTGATGCACATCTTTGAAGAAAATGCATACAAGGGTTTGCTAGAGAGTTTCAGCAGAAGAACAAGATTTGTCGAGTAAAATAAAGTTCTGCAATAAGCTAAATCTTAGTCGATGAACGGCACTGTGTAAACAGTAAAGTTGGCAATCACATCATTAGTTTTAGATGAAGAATATTTTTCTAATGGAGTATAGTAATAGAGAAAGATAGCATAGCTTTCTCTATGTCATATCAACAAGTAAAAGCATGTCACATTATCATATATGGCTTTGGCTAGTAGTATTTAAATGAATAGTATCTTCTCTTTCATGGTTGTTTGGATCACAAGCAATGAAATCACTTTTATGAATGCTAACATTCGATAATGCCATAGTTATCGTTTATCGTAATAATATCTGTGTAATTTTAAAATTCTTCAACAACAATATTTTAAAAAGTGTTGAATAGTATTGAGAGCACATATAATTAATAGACCTGATTAGTTAATGAAATTGCACTTCGTTTGCATAGATGAATCTTCAAGATATGTAAAATCAATGATGCCTTTAAATTCACTCATTAGAGAAATGAGCATGATGAGAATAAAGTAATCCGCATTGCTCTATAATAAAAACATATGCACATAAGACATGTATTATCAATGGCATATTTAATCATAAATTCTATTGATGTTCTCATTTTTATTATAAATTATACTTTTTCATCAAAAGAATGGTCATATAAATTGATAATCGATTTCACTTTGATCGAACCATTGTTCGATCTTATGACCAATATTTGTCAATAGCAAATCGAAGTATTGTTTAGATACAAATTTCTGTGAGTAGATTTGTTTTAATTTGCATTAATTAACATATCATATGCTTTTTCTAACTATTAGAAAAACAAATTCGAAAGATATTCAGATAATTTTCCTGGACGATATGATAACAACTAATTGAAATATAAGTATATACATGATTTCATAAGCGCCGCAGGCGATCAAGCACTCCCTACTGTTATCATATGTAATCAATTTTTTTTTAATGAAAGTTATTTTTTTCTTTATGTTTCATTCTTGATTTTAACTTGTTTCTATGTGAAAGAAAGAGACAAGAAACATCAACATTGAATACAATACGTGGTCAAACTATGCAACATTATTCAACAGTGACCAAGTTAATTCATTATACTTCAAAATTTACATCTGGTAGTGATAGACAACTATCAAGACAAAATTCATCAGTCAGAAATCAACGATTATCGTCAAGTTCTGATTCAATGGATAGGTTTGTATATATAGGGAAAGTTTGATTTTTCTTATACTGAGGGACGATTCTTTCAAAAAGAAATCGTTGATAAGTTTCTTTATGATTTTAAAATCCTTTTGATAATATGATTCAAGTAACTCCTCAGTTAAAAAAAAAATAAGAGCCTGCTCAGTTCGACTATGGTCGGTTTCGATTGGAACTAGAAAAAACTGACCATCGATTTTCTACTTTCAAGTTTCTACCAGTTTTCAGCCGGAAATGGAGGTGTATTTTCGACAGTTTGTCGCCGGAAATGCACAGATTCGAGTGCTGGGATTATCGACTTGGGTCGCTTTAAAAATCGATTTGTGAAATGAATAGTGATTATAAACATTCACTAAATTAAATAGATTCTTTTAGTATATTGAATTAAGCTGTTTTCTTTTATGCTGAGCAGTGCCCTCTATTCTCAACGTTAATGTCAAAATTGATATGATATTTGAGGATATCGTCTTATCTATCTCACTAAAAATGGTAGTAATCATAGTGTTGTCCTTCTGAAAGTTAAGTATCTAAAATGAATTTATTCTAATTCTAAAACGAAACAATGCATTAAAAATGAGTTCTACTGTATCATCAAAAATTATCGGTGATAATCGTTTACTTAATACACGAAGATCAAGGTTGTTATTTTTTCGGAACTCTTTTTTGTTCTATTCATTGACTCTCATTTCTACTGCTTAGATTAATCGACAATAGACGGTTTCGTTTGGCACCAATATGGCCCGAATGGAATGAAGCAGAGATAAATGTTGAATCATGGGATGCTGGAAATGTAAAGAAAAAAGATATAGTTGTAGTTAGAGCTCGTCCTGATTTAAAAACAAATATTTCAGTGGTAAAATAATACATTAAACGTTCTATTGACTATATGGATCATATTTTAAGTCTGCACATGGTTTTGAAGATCCTGAAGGTAAAGTTGAGCTTCCTCCATCATTCAAAGTAGAACAATGGAAACGGCCAATCGAGTTTTTGGTAGCCGATAAGGTAATAAAAAGTTTTCTGTTTAAAATAGTACAATTTATTGAATATATATATAATAGTCTCCAGTAATTGTTGATCCTGATGTTGGCATTCAAAATTTGGATTTAGTTACACCAAATGAACATTTACATCATAGTGAAGTAAAATTTTATAGAATTCGTTTTTTTTTAATTCACTCATATTTTCTTTAATAAAGACAATGCGCAAAATTATTAGTGAAATTACAGCTCTGTGGGATATTTGTCGAAAAGAACGAAAAAATATTAGTACAACAACATATAATGTTCATGAATTTAATATAACTGAAAGAACATGGCGTCCTTGGGTTTGTACTTATCTTTATTCAATGAATAAATCATTTCTTTTTTCTTTACATCAGGAACATATATATGCATTGAATAAAGTATCTAAACAACCGTTTATTACTCCGTACAATCCTTCTGGCAAATATATCGTTCGACTTTTCTTTTTGGTTTGTATTCTAAGAAAAAATTTGAAATTAGTTGTGTGTTTTTTTTTCCTTGAATTTTATAATCAGGGTACTTGGCGTAAGATTATTATTGATGATACTATTCCATTTGATTCTAAAAATCGATGTCTTCTACCACAAACATCATTATCATATGAACTTTGGCCAATGCTTTTATCAAAAGCTTTATTAAAAATAATTTCTCTTGAGTAAAAAGAATAACAAACATGTATTTTTTATTCATCCCTAAAAAAAACGTTGCTTTTCTTCAATAATAGTTTCAATGCATCAAATGATTTTCCTGAATCTAATGAAGCCTCAGTTATTCATTCACTTACTGGTTGGATACCAGAACCTATTCCTCTTAAGTAACAAAAAAAAAAATTAATTAAAGAAAGAAAGATGAATATCAAATTTTCTATTCATAGATATACTCATGCTGGAAAAGTATGGGATTTTCTTCGTTATGATCGTTCTAATCAATACGTTGGTGTAAATGACAATGTAATAAATAAAAACGTATCATCTTTTGGACCTATACCATTATTCAAATGGCCTGATTCAAAAGTTCATCTACAGGAAGAAACAATATCAATGAATGGAAATGTAAATTAGTTTCTTTTTTTGTTATATATTCTCTAGTTATTTTTTATTTCTAAAAACACAAGGATCCATCAGATCATTTCGATGATAAAAAGCTAGAAGATAAAAATTTAAAAATACGAGGATCATCTCTTACTCTAACTACTTCAAAAGATCCGACAGTAATTAAATCGATTAATTACAAAGAAAATCGAGCAGGTAAGATCTTTTAATCATTTGAATACCATAAATCTTGTTTCAGTCAGTAGTCCAAATCTTAAAACTCCAAATGATACAAAAAAATTAATCGGAACAAGTCGTGCAGGTCCAATAGAAGATTCTGGATTTTTTATCGATGATCAAATGATTCCTGAAGCACCAAAAATGATTGTTTTCGCTACTATACCTCACTTACAACCAACACGTATTAGTTCATATAGTGAAACAGCTGATAGAAGTGAACGATTAAGACGTTATAATTTAAATGATACATTTTCAACATCAGTGCTACTAACGTCTATTCGAGATATTCCATTGGAACCACCGCCCCCACCGGAATATGTACCTCCTTGGAAACTTATTCGACCAAAAAAACCTATCGTATTACCTCATGCTGAACCTATAAGTGAATATAATATTTAAAAAATAAATTTTTGAATTATTAAAATTTTTCTTTTAGTTCCACATGAATCTAAACCTGAACGTTGGATTGAAATTACTTCACCTTATATAAATTATTCAATAGCAAGTGCTCTTAATATGTAAATTTATATTTTTCATCTCTTAGTGTTATTTACATATCTATCTCTTACATAGAAAAACAACAACTCAGTCTCATCCGATTGATCATAATATTACGTAAGAAATTTTTACTTTTGTTTTTAAATATGATGAATATCGATTTATGTATAGAATCGTCAATACATCTTCACATTTACATCGTACCGCGAAACATTTAGCTGTACCTGGTCAATCAAATATTATTGAAATAGATGAAGATATTGAAAATGAAAAACTAAAACCCGAACAAACCATGGAATTCGTTAGAAGTACAACAAATATAAGTTCAACATCAATAAGGAAAGAGGTGAATGTTCATTTTTTTACAAATTTTAATTAAAAAAGAAAAGAATTTTTAAATGCTTCTAGTCACATGTAATTGACACTCACGACAAATCTGATGATTCGGTACGTAGTACAGGAAGCAAACACAAATACGAAATACCAATTGATAAAATTAAAGTAAATTCAAACACTATTCTTTTTTATAAATAAAATCACTTTAAAATCTAAATAGACTCCTCGAAAATCTGCTGCAAGTGGTATAAAAATACCATCTGATACTGTATCAGCGAAAAGCAAAGGTTATAACTAAGTAAAAAAATTTATTAGAGCAGCTCGTTTGAGACTCAAATGTGGAGCCCACATGTGTTGTATAGCCTCACTCTACTAACACAAAATACGTAAAGTGAAATATCTTTAGTGTAGTTGTTTTGCAAGAATAATCGATTGCCAGAGAAGCGATCTATTCTATATTGAGACTCTAGCTTTATTTGCTCTGCTGTTATTTCTGCTTTGCTTTTCATTTTTCTTAATCCTTTAATCACGAGACTTCTGCGCAGATGACAAAAAAAATGTGAGTTTGCTCATAGAAGTCCGGAAACAAGTATATACGTCAAAGGAGCACATTTAATTGCATTTGGCTTCAAACAGTACTATATTATTAAGTATTTGTTGAGTGGAAGAGAGTTGCCTGAAACCTTGTAAAATCCTTTGCATAGTTCCATAAATAACTCTATGGTTCAATATTATAATTTAGATTTGATTAAATTTAAACGTTTGGTCTTGTGTAAGATTAGAGCTTGAGTGTTAATTAAAATTTTTCGAGAAAACAATTCTTTTAGAATTCGACGCAATTATGCGGAGTTCGGCTTGTTTTCATAGGATTTTGAACGATTTTAGGCATTAAGAATTTATGAATTCTTATAGACCTCTAAATCCACGATTATTTCCTGTCTACTTGATATATATGTACAGTGATCTTATATAATGATGCTTTGATACTAAAAGCATAAAGAAAAGAGAGAATACTCTATAGCCGAAGAACGTAAGAAGATTAAAAAAGTTATAATCTGTGTAAAGAAGCTCAATCTGTATAAATAGGTTACGTAATCAAAAGGTTAATTTAACATTATTATTATTATAACTCTCGATAAACTCAGAGATGCTAATGTTGATTGTTTCCCAGAGTTATAACTTCATCAGTTCACTGTTTTTATGTTGATCACATGACGACTGTAGCAAATCAATGCATCATTATTCATCATTCTTGACATCTTGAATATAAATTTTTATTTGCTCAAATATAAAAAAAAATGTACTATTTAGAACATTTACACAGGTATTTCAATCATTCAAACTTCGAGAAAGATTTTCAAATATTCTAGAATAATTTATGTCTAGTTTTTAATGCTGTTCAGTGCATTTTACACTTTCTAAAGAGCTTTGAAAATGGAACTTGACGCCTGTTTTCTCGGATTGCTATACGAGAGCTAATAAACCTTGACTAAATTTTTCCTTTATAAAGACATGATGTGAATTTCTCAAAATAAATCATAGCATTTATTTGATAAATCTTTAGGCGGTGAAAATGAACAAATTACAATGCCAATCGACGTACAATCGACAGGAAACAATAATGAACAACAAAATTATTCATTAAGTAATCTAAAATCAATAAAAAAACCATATAAAACACCGAAAATATGGATGGATTTTGATGATTTTTGTGCTTGTTTTACGTCAGTTGAAAATAATCTTCTTCTCTTTAATTAATTTGTGATCTTTTCGTCTTAAATATTTTAGTTCAATTATTGTTTTCCATAATCCTCGTGGTTATCACTATGCACATAAGCACACAGAAATAAAAGTAAAAAAAAATATTGGTTTTTTTTACTAATTGATTAGTATATATTGATTCTTTTAGTTTGCTCCATATCAACAAGTAATAATTAAAATATTCTCAATTTTATTGTTTTATTCGTAAGTTAATATTCCTTTTTTAGCCAGTGATTACTTCTCTAAAAGAAAAGAAAAAAGAACCTAATCAATCAACTGTTCAAATACCAGTAAACTATTTTTCTGTCATTATTAATCTTATATTTCAATTTGAATAGAATCTACAAGATGATAAACCTTCATTATATTTATTTGTTGATAGTACACGTGAAATATTAGATAAAAATATTCAGCTAATTATTAGTTTAACATGTTTGTCACGATGGTATGATACTGTACTACCTGAATTTGTTGGATTGAATGAAAAAAGTTTTCGTAATACAAATTTATTCACTGAAAAAACTTCAATTGATGTTAATCAAGCAAGAAACTCAGGTCATTAACAGCGAATTAATACTAGCTGATGTACAAAGAATTGTTTTATTAATATTTTCAAAATTTTCGTCTTTTGTTCATTTAATTGAAACACATGTTGTAATCAAAAAATTCTCATTGAAGTTTTCCATAAAATAATACATTCTTTTTAAGGAATGTAGTCTTCTTACGTTATAAATCACATCAATTAAAACGAGTTTCGAGAGATATGACCAAAAAAAATGATATTCGTCGGCTGAGTTAAGCAAAACACAAATATTCAAGGCTTGTTTATATTAATGCGAATAAGCTCTAAAATAGTTTTCTAGAAGTCAGAACAAAAAACTAGAATTACAAAAACTTGGTCCCGTACATCTCTAGTCTGGGTACTACTTTCGAATGAAGTACCGATTATAAAGTCTAGCAACATTCTATTAAAATCTAGGTCGTAAAATGAGCTCTATTTTTCTATGGAAAAGGTGTCATACTTGGTTACTTGATTAGTGACAGATTTAGAAGAGCGAAGCACAGGATGTCAGTTTCTTCCTTCCAAAATCCTTCTTTCAATGTTTCTCAGCACAAAATGTCTAAAAACTATTCGATACTACCTAGCTTGGATTTCAAAACACTTATTCTTGACTACGATCGCGTCTATTTATCAGAATCTTCGATGCGTCGCTGTACATGATCTAATCATGTAGAAAGCGGCCGAGATTTTTATGCAACATCAACTTTACACTTGTAGTGTCAGCAGGAAACATTGTTGTTAATAACCATTTCGTCTGACGAGGAAAGCTCTTCAACCGTTCAGTCGCTTATGAGCTATGAATATTCTGACAAGAGTTTATACCCTTAGCTTATTGCTACGGAAATATTTAGCTTTTATGGTATTTTTTTGAATAAATGTCGTGGTGCAGAAAAACTGATTCTCAAATTTCGACTTGCAATTTTGTGTAAAGATAAGCCTTAGCGAGAGTAGTTTCAGATCTTTTGGTTTGCATCTATTAGGACATAAGAACAGTAGATCTCCTGATTTATATGCGTGATGTAAAAGATAGGTTATTATCATAGTTGAGTCTTAGCATAGGAGTAACAACAAGATCTGAAACACCCACAATACATTATTCTTGGTAAGGCTTATCTCTATTCAAAATTTCAAGTCGAAATTCAATAATCATTTTTTCTGAACCATGACGCTTATATATTTTTGTAGTAATAAACTAAGAGTAAGAACTTTTTGAAAGGTATTCATAGCTCATTTGGATTTGTATAATAAAATTAAGAATCATTTGTTTTTAATGACACGATCTTCATTAAATTACAAGAGATTTTCACTGATTCATCATAACTATCATCCTAAATGTTTAGAATTGTTGACTCTTTCTAATTTTTTTTTTCAACCATATCCGGAACAATTTTTTGATCGAATCATATACAACTGTTCTATGAGTTTTGCATGTGATCTTTTGATTAATAAAAAGAATTCTTCAATGAAATGAACGGTAGAAAAGTAAATTTTCAAAAATATTAACAAAGCACTTCTTTATGGAGCAATCGTTACAAACTAAGAAGTATAAAGATATTGTTTGTTTTTAGTATCACAAAAAGAGATTCTTCCACAAGCAGGTTCACTTATAGCTGAGTTGTATTCATGGAAATCACTTAGAATGGGACAACCTATTCTTCGTCTTCATACAACAGCAACGAAAGCTGCTTTACTAACATTATCACCTGGGTAAACATTTTCTAAATCAAATTTCTGTTTTTTTGTAAATTAATTTTTATAAAAATTTTAGTCGTCATGTATTAAAACTTACTGATACATGTCCATTTGCTTGTAACGTGCAAATATTATCTGATACAAATGATTTTATGCTTGCTGATGAAGATCAATTATTAAATAAAATTACTGTTATGCCTGTGAAAAAAACTTTTTCTATTAATATTTCAATTTTATTTTATGTATTATTTTCTAGGAAGATGCTGATTTTATACTACGAGCTGAAGAATTATTTCTAGCACTAGATGATTCTATACAAAATTTTCATTTGATTGGTCAACAAGAAAATAAATTATATGATCTTCTTAGTTTATATTGTGAAAATGCACCAAAATCACTTGATCTTACTATTCAAACATGTTTTAATATATTTAATCAAGCATTATATTCCACTTTACGAACCGTTCTTTCTGTATCTGGATCAGGAATTAGTGTAGATACACAATTTGCTTGGCGATGTTTTACGAATGATCTTGCAACACCAGATATTTTGTCTGCTTATGAAACAAAACGTCCAAGTATGAAATTATTTGACAGCCACATGATTGACGATGATGCTCTTCATAATATTGCCTTCTAGCATTGAATATTAGAACAGTAGATGAGAGTTTAATCATTGTCTAGAAAATCTAGGACTAACCTATTCGAGGTTTATGAGGTTTTCTTACAAAATAAGTAATAGTTTCCATGTTTAATAAAGATGAAAAAGAGTAAGGATTTGTCCTTTGAGCATAATAGGGCTATGCTACATACTGTCGAAAAATTCATGGCTGATAGCACTTTGTATTGTCTACAAACAAGGTATCCATCGAACCCGAATTTTGAAGTTTGGTCTTACGAAAGAAAATGTACCAATATGACACATCAATGGAACTAATAGTTCACCCATAAGTAGACCTCGACAAGACTAGTAAAAATCTATAGAAGTTTGTCCCCATGAGTTATCTTATCTGAATTATAATAATGTTGCCGAATTTTTCATCTCTGAAAAGATATATGTGAAATAATTGAAGTATGAAATTTCAATCTGAAATTTTGCCCATAGATCAGTCTCGTAGATGTCAAAATGTCTTAAAAATTTCAGTTTAAAGGGTTGTGTTATTTTTGAAATATTAACACATACTTTATGGTAAAATTTTGAAAAGATTCTAATGTCTACGAGACCTATTCATTGACAAAATATCAGTTCCACAGGCAAGTCATACGTGGAGACTTTACCTCTCGAGCTGCAACTATTTTCTGTTAATTATTAAAAGAAGATAGACATAAGCAAATAGACAAGATTTAAGAGTGAACTACGATAGATCTGCACAGAGTAAAATAAATGATATGAAACACTGAAGGGTTATAGATATTCCGAAAGAAGTCAATGGTATTCAGAAAAAAACCGAACTCGAACTTGGCAGATCCTTAGGGTACTTCCATGATTGCCCCATATGCTTCGAGAAATATTTGAGCAAAAGACTCTAAATATTTCATGCTGTCAATATTGATTGAATATTTCTCGAATTTGAACTGCTCATTCTAAATAATAAGTCAGGATTCAGGTTGGATGCATGCTGACTACGAACAATCAATCATGGATTATGTAAATTCTTATCGAGTTGATCAGTTTCAAATCAATCAGCATGTATTTCCATTAGACATGAATAAACTAAGTCCGATTCCGTCGGATTGGAGATCGAGACTAAAATAAGTATTTGTGTCGCCGTTTCATTGAACATCTGATAAGGAAGTCATTAGTAACTAAACTGATAGTAATATAACACCAAAATATTTCAAATTTATAGATAATAGGAGAGAAGAGCTTTTAAGTGTAGCTAACAAAGTTTTAGCTAAATACTGGACAAGAGTTGAATCTCTTTTTGACCGAAATGGTAACTTTAACATAAGTGTAATCTACATTCTAGGAGTTATGAGAAAAAAAAATATTCTCTTAAAAATATTTTCTCTAGTTGTTAGAAGTCTCAGCCGTCATTCAGCACGAACTGCTGGAAATTCTTCTGCAAGTACAGGAACACCTACTACAAGTAAAAGAAGTACTGGAGGACGAGAGAAAAATGTAGACGATAGGTCTAGTTCAAAACAACAATTTTCATTGACGAATTCACCATCAACATCAGATATACAAGGTAATCTTCAGGTTTAATTAATAATCAAATTAAAAGATGAAAATTTTAGAAGAAGCTTTGTCTGATTTGTTAACACATGAATTAAACGAAAGTGAAATAGCAGCTATTACGAATATTCAAAAAAGTATTCGAGGATTTTTACAACGTCGTATTGCACTTGCTCGTACATCTGGTACGGAAAAAAATTTATTTATTCAACAAATATTACAATCAAGCATGTCGTTACTTAAAGTTGATCAAAATAAATCAGCTTTACTTCTTTTTAAGTAATTCGTTTGTTTTGTTTTTTTTTTCATTTGAATTTCAATGCTATTTTGCATATTCTCATAACAGATATTTCATATCAATCAAACCAGAATTAGCTCGATGTTTTACATTTGGTGATGATGATTGGAATATGGTCACATATCGAGATTATAATGGAATATATCAAGAACAATCAGCAAATAAGTGGTTTGTTTTATTTCGGTAGAGAAAAAGCAGTCCATTTATTATATCTTAAAAGGAAGGAAAATTATATCGTTGTTTTAGAGAAATTTTTTATATTAATGAAGAGTGTTTCATCGCTGCTAAATTTCTTTCACATTTACCAAACACACTTTTACGTGTAATCAATAATGATACATATAATGAAATGCCATTGGTATTCAATCGATTACGACCAGGAATCTTTACTAAAAATAAAGTGAATTACCTATCTTTGACAGAAAAAAAAATCTGGAAATCGTTTTTTTTATTTCGAATTAATAGAATGGTTACACATTTTTTGCTGAAGGAATATCGCTTGATCAATCAATACCAAGTGATCGTTTTCGTCTTCGTTTAATAACATCATATACACAGTTACCTGAAATGCGTACTGATCAAATAACATCATCATTTATTACAAAAGATATTACAGATTATTATATTCCAAATAAAGACCAAATTATATGCAGGTTAAATATATGTTTTAATTAGCATTATTATAAACTAGTTCTTTTCTTTAGATATCACATTATTACTTCTGATAATATTAATCAAACTGGTCTAAATTATCATTTAGCTAGTATTCATTTTAGTACATCAAAGTCGGATGTTTTAATGCGTTTAACGGTCTTAGATAATAACGAAGAAATAGTTAGTGTTGAAGGAAAAGGATGTGTTGTTTTACCTGCAGTACTTTTTATGCGTACAATTACCAATGTAGTACAACCGCCACCTGTATCAAAGCCAAACTCAAGAACGACAGGAGGTTAAAGCTTTAAATGACTTAAGTTTGTTCATTATTTTTGTCAGTTTAGGATCACGTAAAAAAGATTTAAACAATACTCATCAAGGAAATGTTGCTGATTTAACAACAATAAATAGCGCCCGATCAGACAAAGATAGAATTGGGAATGGAATGAGAAATGTATGTTAAATTTATTGCTAGCGAACGTTTTTGTTTAAAAAAAAATACTTCTAAATTGTTATTTGAGAGATCAAGCAGTCGAGACGGATTAACAATCGTAGACGAAGAAGAAAAAGTAAAGATATATGTAAATCATCATCTATATGACTTCTTTTTAGTTACATAAATATATTATTCAAGTAACACTTCTTCGTAAGTCCTGGCCATTAACTGCAAATCAATTGCAATTTGTTGAACAACTTAAAGAACAAGAAAAAAATGAATTAAAAGGTAAGAAAAAGAAAATTTCGTTTATGATTTCCAATTAAAATATGAATTAATTAATAAAATAGTTTTTAATCGACAATTATCAGCAAATAAAATTGATCGACCAATTAGCGAATCAACAAGTAGCAAACGAACAGGACAAACAAGTTCTACCGCATCGACAACAAGCAGTCGAACAAAAAGTAGTACTGCTGGAAGTGGTAGAACTAGTACGCCATCATTAAGTCGACCGAAATCGTTAAAAGAAAATATAGAAACAACGATTGATACAAGTAAACCTCATTGGATATTACGAATAGTATCCGATGCAGATAAAGCTGTATGAAAATTGAAACTATATATAAAAAGACTAAAATTTGTTTTGCTTTTGTTTTTATCAAGGATGAATTAACAATTAAAAAAGACACTGAACGAAATGAAGAATTAATGAATATAAAAAAAGCATGGGAAACATTACAAGTTGGTCGAGCTGAAAAAGCAATGGAATCGAGACAAAAATTCCTTGATTCTTCACAATTAAAAGTTGACGAAGTTTCATTAGTTGAAACAACTGATGATACAACAAATGTTTCAGAAATTCGTACTGATGAAGAAACAACTAGTACAATTAATTCTTCAATTTTAGGACAACAACAAATTATCAAACAAACTCCAACAACAAAGAAAAGCTTTTTATTCATGAAAAAAGGATCCGTTAAAGAAGAAACTATGAAAAAAACTGAATTAATTTCACCATCTCTTTCATCATCACCACAAATCGATGAACCTCTTCTAGATGAACCACCACCAAGCAAGCCTAAAATTATTTTAACACCATTAGATTTAAAACCTTTTCTCAAGTAATCTGATGTCTTAATAATACCGAACGAAGGTGTATATATTCTCGTTTGTTTTCAGACAAAAACTGCTTTCTGATGAGCCAATTATATCTGATTCATTATTTGAACAAGAAGATTTACAACATCGTCAAAATAATTTCACTGAATATTCGAAACATGCTGATGAAATTCGTCAACTTCGTCAAGAAGATCAAAATAATCGATATAAAGAAAAACTTCGTCAATTAGACGAATATGTTAGTTTGCAAGCTAAAACTGATCAAATTCGTCGAACAATTAATGAACCACGTGAAGCATTTCGACAACGATTTCTTGAAATTGAACGTATACGTCTACAAGAAGTAGCTGCTCAAGAAAAAAAATTATTGGATGAAGAAAAAGCAAGATTAGCAGCTATGATTAAACCAGTTAGAAAAAAAACTTCACCTGGAAAAAAGAAAAAGAAATAATTTCATTAATATTCATAAACCATATATTACGACAACTTGTTTTTTTTAATAATATTCAAATGCAAAAAAAACATTACGCGAAAAACTTTTCAAAATATAAATGCGTTCTTACAGTGAATTTCTAATGTCTTAATCAGATATTATTTTAAACATTAATCATGAAATCCTCTAATATGGTTCAGATCTATATTAGATAATAAATATTTTTTCATTAGACCGTTCTCCCCAATAGAAGATGCCGGATTTATTATGATATCTAAGAATACAAATTTTTCAGAAGAACTTTCTATTATGTTCTCATGCATCATTGAAGTAGAAAAGTTTTTTCAAAAAACTAAAACCCTTTTGACAATATGAGTATCGATTCTTAAAAACTCAAATATAATTTTGACTTCAGTTTTTAACATTTTCAGCTCTGAATTCTGAAAACTAGACATATTTTGCTATAAATATTTAAAGTTTTTGAGAAATTGAGTCATTAGGTAGAGTCTTCTATTACACTGAATACGCGTCATTCCTTCAAGGTCAATCTTAATTTGCAAAGACTATGGTTTGAGTATAACTCAACAATAATAAATGTTATTGAAAATAGTTGATCTGTATCTTCAATAAGCAGAAGTAATCAAGTGATGTACTTTCTTGGTGCAATTTCTCAACCTTGTTTCATATGTATAATAAATAAATAGGTCGTTTATCGACAATAGTAAATATACATATATATAGAAGCAAACGAAAAAAAACTCGAAGGTACTACTATGAACAAATATTACTCTTTGATGTTTGGTATTACAATTGTTTGCTTATGCTTAATGCTATGAATAATCGAGTAGTTTTATATTTATCGTTTTTTTTTTATTTGATATCGTCTTACTGTATTCAGTATTCAATATTGATAGATTCTAATATCTATCATAGAATTCACGCATGTTTTCTAATAAAAATTAAATAATAAAAAATATTTGTAGCCCTTTCATTTATATGTCAAAACATGTGTTTTCTGACCAAACCTTTTCAAGTTAAAAATGAATTCTTTATTATTCAAATATTTCATAAATAATTATTAGTTTTGGTCGATCATATTTCATCATTCTACTTATGATCAATTTTAAGCATATTATTCATGTTAATAAATAACTCTTACAATACATGCGTCTCTTCTCCTTGTGATTTGATATCAAACTCAATGCCTCTTTCAGCTTATATTACTCATCTTCTTCCTATATCTAAATGTCAAAAAAAAAAAAAACATACAACTAGTTAGAGAAAAAGAAAAAGGTCTTGTCTCAACTTGATTTCGATTCATACACACATTATGAAAAAGTAATTTTTGATCAGTAGGTGGTAGCCACCTTCTACACTAAGCAAAACGTCCATAATTGCGAGGAAAAAAAATTCTTTCTTTTTTCATTTGATGCACTCTTATGTTTACTTATTAATTAAAGCAGTTCGATGATATGAAAAAATTTCTAATGATTAATACATATATCGACAACGTCAATTTTTCAATCCGTTCCTTTTAATTCATTTTCTCTTCTTGATTCATTGCCTTGAACCATATACGTAAGCATAATAGCAAGGGATTTTAGTCGTAGTTTGTCATACAAATGTCGCCTGCAATCAAGCGAACAGAATCGATGCTTTAAAGTGCATATATAGATTGCATGAATGTAGGTGTACGTTAAGTCAACAACTATTATATATCGTTGAAACTAATCATTAGATATTGGTTATCGTAATTTTTTTTCTTACTTTCTTTATCATACAAAACAAAGATGGATATCTCACACTAAACTGTAAACCGATTTAATAAGATCAAATTTCCTTTTCAGTATTAAACAAAAACTATTCATTGCCTTTAGCAATGTCGTTTGTTGTTATTATGATATCTAGTTTACTTCATTTATAGGTAATATATATAACAGTCATCACTAAAGAATGTGAGTTATAAAAAATTATAATGTTGTTGTTGTCGTTGTAAAAAAAATGACATGGTATGCCTATATGAGTAGAAGAAACATATAGAAATACTTCTTTTATTATCAACATGGTTGAAGTGGAATAAGCAGTAATTCAAAACCATGCACATATATGCTTTTTTTTTCTATGCCTAATTCGATACATTTTTATTCATCATGTGTAAAAATTATTCAGAAAGTAGGCGGTAATAAGACTTAAATGATTGAAAAAGAATTCTATAGATTAACATTTTAGTTTTACTCACACGTTAATATTAACGAAAAAAAGAAATTATTGAAGGTCACACAGAAAACAAAGATTTGTATAGTAGTATGAAGAATTTTGCTATCATAGGTATTCAGTTATAAAAGTGAATAAAACAACACTTGTGGATGCAAGACGACGAAAAAGAAATATAGATGATCATAATCAAACAAAGTAATTGATATATATACATATATTCAATCGTTTTTGAACTGTTTGATCAATAGAATTCAATCCTGTTAAAGAGGAATCATATTTTATCAACTTGCTTTCTTTGTATTCGCTTCCGTTTTTTTATTTTTTTTTTCTTCTTTTCTCTCCCCTTTTTCTTGAGCTGTAAATATATATAAATATAAAATTAAACGCAAAAGAGAGAGAGAGAGAAAAAACGAAGAGGAGGAGAGATTATAAGGCGAAATATTTCATCGAACAGTATAGCATAAAATTTAAAAAAAGAAAAACGAACGACATCGTTTGTCATCATAATGTGGGCAAATCACTTATCCTCACTAAGAGAAAAGTGCTTATACGTGTTTAATTATAGACATTAAATATATGTTCATATTCAAGTATAAGTAAACATAATCTATATGTATTTATATTTAAGAATTTTCTTTCTATTATTCATTATAATAGATAAAAATCTATTATTCCTATAAGAAATGTCTTCAGGTACATTTTCTAAACAAAATTCATCTCCTGGCCCAACACGTCGTACTCGAACAAGAAACGAATATAATGAGAATAATCCACAACATAATGCTAATCATCGTAGTTTAAGTGGTAAATTTCGAAATTTATTTCGAAAGAGTTCTTCATCACCTAATCGTACAACGAATAATACTGAACGTCCACCACTTGCAACAGCACGTCAACGGTCTCAATCACCACAAGTTAAATCAGCATCCACGGAAGCACCTCAATTACGAGCACCTCTTGTTAGTTGGCCATTTGGAAAAAAAAGATCAAAATCACCAGCAACAACAAATGGTAAAACGAAAACAAAAGGTGGTCGTAAAACTAAAAAAACAACAGTACCACCGTTGGAAATCTCCAATCCAATCTATCAACAAGAATATCAAACATCAATACATGGTCAAAATTTTGTTCCAAGAACTCCAGAACTTTCACATGGTAGTACTGGAAGAACTCATTCATCATCAAATTACGAAACAACAACAAAAGGTTTTCGTGATTATATGGTTATTGATAATACAAAACCGTCTCAACAGGTAAAGTCATCAGTTGATAAACTGGTTATTTTTTTTCGTAGGATTATCTTTCATTCGTATGAGTAATAAAATTAATAATCAATAACCATTGTTTGTCGATGTAATATCAAATCTATATTGTTTGTCAATGTCTTTCGATTCTCTGAATTTGATCTTTGGACATGATATTTGCTCAGATAATCGATTATTGCAAGAAAAAAAAATCTACTGATAAATTGAAAGAGAGAGGGAATTGTTTAGATGAAAAAAACAAATTCATCTGTTTATTTAGTACAAATTATAAGAATACACAACCATTTAAAAATAAAAACTTTTTTGAAAGAAAATTTATATTCACATTGAATGTTTTTTTGGTCTCAGGTAATCGTACATGATGCCGATATTATTACACCACCACCATATTCGTCGAATCGCAGTCGTTCACCATCACTGAGTCATAATCGTTTACCTGATACAACTATTCAATATTCTTATCATAATGATATTTCATCATCACCAAGATCAGATATTGAAGTCTTTCATACACCAAAGCATCGACATAAAGTCGATGATACTCCATCATTAACAGCTATTCAAACCTTAGTCGATAAAACTCCATCACGTCCTCAAACTTCAAATTATTCACCATCAAAGCAACGAAGAAAAGTGAATGAGACTCAATCGTTTGTTACTGATCAAAGTTTAGTCGAGAATACTCCCATACTTTTTCCAACAATAACACAATCACCAAAATCAACTATGCATTCTAATCAATGGAAGAGTATGTCATCGTCGTCTCTCAATAATAATGAAATGCGTTCAACAGCATCATCATCAATGGATGTTGATGTTCCAAAATTAAATGAACCTTTTGTACCACTTGGTCATACATCAAATACAGAAAAATCAAAACGAACTAATTCTCAATATCGTCTTGATGAAACCTATAATTCGTTATCAACTATGAATAATGTTGTTCAACCACATCGATCATATACAAGTACACATAGTTCGTTCCCTGATGCAGAAATTATGCATAGTAATAGTTTAACTTCATTACAACCAGACACAACGAATAGTAAAGTTCTTATTTTAATTGATGATAATAAAATTCTCATGTTTCTTTTAGTTCCTAAATATCCTGGATTAAGTGCGATTGTCCATTATCATATACGTCCAAGTTCTATTTATTACAATGAATATCCATCAATAACAACAAGTCCTCAGCGAATAAAACGTTTTGATGCATCAACTACAACTTTAAATGACAATGATCAAGGACAGCAATGGTATAATACATTAAATAGTGGTTCACCATCATCACCCTCTGGTATTCATCATCATGATGGTTATATTCGACCTTTAACTCCTCAAAAACCCTCATTACAAACAGATACCAATGCCTGTCGTGTTGATACTGATGATTCACATGGTAGAAGACCTTTAACACCATCTCGAACATCATATTATGATTCTTCTGAAATTCCCGTAATTTATCGTAGTTCAAAAACAGTTTACACCAAAGATAAGCATAGTTATGTTGATGGTGGAGAACTTCGAACATGGAGT